AGTCAGCAATCAAACACTTTTCACATGTGCCATACTGTGATGAAGAGGAGCCAACTCTAGACGCAAAAGTCTTTTGAATGATGAATTTGATTAATTGCCGTTGCAAAAGGTGACCCATCACTAAAGCCTCATAAAGAGGATTAAAAATCCACAGCAAAACCACAGCAAACATGCACTTTGAACAGCACGCCAGCTGATTTCAGTTTAGTTTTGTATTTCCTCATTGTGGTTAAAATGAGAATATCTTCATGCAAGCAAGATGCTAACAGAATAGTAAAAGTAGTTCTGTCTTAAGTAGTTCAGTCTGGTGGAATGCACTCACATAAATTTCTCCGAACACATTCTTCACCAAAAGCCAGATGCAGAAGACAGGGTAAAGGGACAGCAACAGAGCGAGGCATTTAATGCACGGCACCAAAGCCATAACACTAAGTAGATGCTGCCCACTTAAATCTTTACATTCTTCATTCACTTTAGCTCACCAAACACGACAGTCCCCATAGGCGAGTAATGAATAATCATTAGCAAAAGGTCCACAAATTATTGATGTAAAATAAGCAATGATTCTTTTTTTTGTTTCGCAATTTATTGCCATTAACAAGTAACTTGCAATCCAATAAATGTCAGCATGGCTTTCAGTTAATTAAAGGCAAAGATATTATACAGTAATGCAGGGTGGCGTTTATATCTCGATTTCCACAGACTGCAATTTACTGCTGAGCCTTTATTTGAAGGGACCCACAAATAATGGCTATTAAGCCGTCAGGGGATGGACAGGGGATCACATTAATGAAATTAGATAAGGTGGAATGGTGATCTACACAGCCTGGGCTCCAAAGACACACACAGACACACAAACCCACACAGACATGCATGCATGTTGCACACAAGCACCACACATTAGGACTGGCTGCTGTTTAGTTTCCTCTTTCCACATATTTTTATTTTCCTGACCTGCTTGGCATCTGTTTTCATTTTCTTCTTTCTTGCCTTCACCTCTTCTGCACTTTGTCCGAGCACCAACCGGAGCCATGTTAGGTGTTCAACATGAGGGCCTGTCAGCTCATCAGGGAAAGTTTCCCTGTTTGTCCTGAGCACTGTAGGCAGCCAGTCAGTCCATCAACCCCCGCCATCAACACTGCCAACACACACACACACACACACACACACACACACACACCACACACACACACACACACACACTCACACACACTCACACACACACACACACACACACACACACACTGACACACGTGTCTACATCTCCCCCACTAACAGGGAGGTGTCACTCGAGGAGGCAGCTGCAGTCGCTGGTGTGACTGCTCTCCTCAAATCAGAGACCCTCGTCCCTGTCAACAGCAACCTGGCCCTGAGGCTACCACTGTCACACAGCGTACAGCCCCCTGAACGCACACACACACGCACACACGCACACATGCACACACACACGCACACACACACACACACACACACACACACACACACACACACACACACACACACACACACACACACACACACTAACTCTGGGGAGCAAGAGGAGGAGATGGAGGAGGAGGTGGCTGTGTTCTATCTGCAGAGTTGATTTCCACTGTATTAAGGGAGCAGGGTGATAGAGAAGGGAAGAAGAGAGGGAGAGGGAAAAGGGGGAGAAGGAAGGATAAAGGCAGGGGTGAGGGATGTGTGTTTTAGTTAGAACAGCGGGCCTGATTTCCTTCCTGACAGAGAGGCCCAATTATTAGCTGTGACAGTTTAGGGAAATTGGGCGTGAGTGTGATGGGACAGATAGGAGCCGAACAGATAGGGGAACTGATAATTGTTCGACAGATTCCCAAGTCAGGTAGAAAATCCAGCTGCAGAATTTACTTTACTCTGTTTTATGTATACAATACAAAACATTTCATGATTCACCAATAAGACATTAAGTGAATCATTTTCCCTGGATAACTAACATTTCCTTTTTTTCTGGCTTTGTTCTCATCCTCTCTCTCTTTGTATGTATGTATATGAATGACTTGGCCTGTATTTGTGCTGGCAGCATACATAAGAGGCCCTCTGTGCAATCGGACAAGGTGCCGATATCTCAGTCATGTGACAGTGACTTCCTGTCTGTATGTCAGACAGCAACTGAAGGCTTGTCAATACAAGCTCGTGCTCACATCCTTTCCCATCTCCTCAAACACAAACTCACATGGAGAACTGGGAAAACCACTCTCTTCTTTTTGCTCTTCTTACACTGTATGTCAAGCTACTCCTATGGGAGGGAATGGAAACTTTAGATTTGATTGCTATTTTTACACACAAAAATTATAATTGTTCATCAAATTTGAGGAGCCAAGGTCAGAAGGTGAATTAGTTTATTTTAGATCAAACTAGTTGTATTCAGTGTGACAGATGAACACTCAAAACACTAATATATTTGCTTTTAACAAAATAAAAATTTAATTAACTTATTTTACAGATTTTTAACAGGACACAGCAGATCTTTCCCATCTTCAATCCCTCTAGTTCCTCTTCCAGTTTTGCCTCTTGGCTCCGCAGCCTGCTAAACTCAGGGACATCCTGGAGGCTATGTCAAAGGACAACACTGCCCTCGTATGGCAGCATGATGATATTAAAATAAGATATCCATGCTGGCTTTACTCTTGTTGCAATTTGGCATAATTGAAGTAATCCAAAAAAGGTGTGAAATGCACCTCATGATCAGTGGTATACCAACATGTTCTCAATCCCAACTCATGCATGCAGATATTCTTTATGAAGGTCTTTTAATTAAAGTCCAAAGAAAAGCACGATTTCCATTTAATGACACACACACACACACACACACACACACACACACACACACACACACACACACACACACACACACACACACACATTCACATATACACAGAGGTTGATCTGTAATCCAGCCAAATCTCAGTCTATGCCCGCAGCATGTTGTTTGGACTGATAGATGCCCGTTGCTGTGACTACAACCCATCCAGTCTCTGCTTAACATTTGTCATTGATCGGAGCCAAGCCCCCATTGGCAGGACTAATTCATTTACGAACTTGTCATTCCACATCATTGATTAAGTTGTCCTTCATCCCAGCTTTAATTATATGCAAAGATAAAAGATTTTCTCATTATTGTGTTTAATCTAATGAAAGGCCTTGTGCTACAGCAGGGGCCGGTTCAGAGGTCCAGACTATTGACCTTGGAGGGCACAGCTAGCGGATGAATGTTTTTAATTAGACAGAGCAAACAGCTTTGGGAGGGACAGCCTGTTAGGCTAGAGGGTGGGACAAGTTGGCATGGAGCAGTTTAATATATCTCAGCAGGTCGCTGTCTCTCACCTATCACTGTTCAGCACACTGCAGCAAAAAATATCTGTTTTTAATTCAGCATTCAGTTTTTAAATCTTGATGCTGATCCAGTGATCTGTTTATTCTGCTAATCTTTAGAGTATAACACTTTTTTTCTGTAAAATCCTGTCGTAAATATTATCAGTGGAACTACGTCATTCCATTAGGATTAAATAATTGTTACACAGACATTTGAATATGAGACTAAATATCTTGTTAAGGTGAGTTAATATGGTGTTAAGGTGACACCTTTTTAATGAACCCTTTACTTTGACTACTAGGTTACATGAACGTGCATGTGTGTGTGGTGTTTGTATGTTGCTGCATTATGTACAGTAATAGAAAGACTACACTTAAGAAAATAGACACACAGTTCACTGTACACCTGCTATCTTGCATTCAGTGCAGCTGGTTTATATATATACATATATATATCAAAACTTACCAGAGACCTGAAAATGAATGGTTGTTTAATGAAGATTTTAGTTTTAGGCAAGGAAAGTGGACATATGGCTTTTAATCCATCCTTTAATACTCGGTTTGATTTTATCTTAACAAAAATACATACTAAATAAATAAATAAATGTTCATAAATGTTTTTATTACTGAATTTCAAGGTTTAAAATTGTTAATATAAGTGATTGGGGAAACTTTTTCTGCATGTGATTTTTTTGTGATGTGAGTTCCCTTTTTGAATGGGATGTAACAGTCACCTTGCAAAATACAGTATGCCATAAAATCACAAAATTAGATTTAAAAACATTTACAGTCATTTAGAACTCTCTGTATCTCTGTATTGATTCCAACGGGTAACTAAACCTGTGATGTTTGTTTTATTTGCAAGTCTATATTTAACATTCTTACAAAGTTTCACATAATCGAATGAAAAAGTTCTTAAGTAAACTAAATTTGATGGATGGAGACATTATTTTAAATCTTACTATTGTGTAAGTTCAGGGGTACGTATGCCACCAGTTACAGTATATTGTAGCAAGTTATTTTTAATGGCAGCCTGATATCAATTATTCCCAAATATGCATATTATCATTATTTCTGGGAGATGAAAAATTATAAAATGACCATTATGTAATAAAGTTATAATCTTATGTCCTATAGACATTTTGTGTCCACCTAAGTTATGTTGGAGGGAACAACTACTTTTATATATTAAACACCAGACGAATCATCCCACTGGTAATATCAGTGAGAGGTGTTCGAGAAGATGCAACAGACAGGCTACACCACTAAAGGGCAGTATTGCTTCATCCTTTTCCATTATGGAAACAATGTGCTGTCAATACTGTACTGTCTGCATAGGGTGCAGCTCACAGATATTGATTCATTTTTTCGTATATAGCAACTTGTTACACTTATATTAGTCTAACAATCTTGATAATCCAGAGCAAATAGAAACTGGTGAACATAAAACATATGAGCTTGTTTTTGAGTCATAAATCTGATACATTTGGCTCAATCATAAAAAGTTGTTATCCAGGCAGCTTTGATGCACAATCTATAAACTGTCATAATTTAGACATATTTGTCTTTAGCATCTATTCATATAAATTTAGGTTGCTTTTACTCTTTATTAGATTGCATGTAATCTCAAATTAAACAAATAAAAGGGGTTCATGTAAAGACCATCCATATCACTGTTGCCAAACCATCATCTTTATTGGCACTATCACTGGAGCAGGACATTATTATCAGCATACTCTCCTTCATCTGAAATATAATTCTTTTAGGGATGATAGTGCTCTCAGATTAACACCTGGAGCAAAATATAAAAAGAAAAGAGAATATATGACCCCAGCAAAATGTCTTTGTAATAATACATTTGGCTCATAATATGGTTGTGGTACCTTATACATTTTTTAAGAAATATACCAAAAATCATAACTTACAAGGCAGCACACAAAAACTGGCCACTTTAGCAAATACTTAAGAATGTCATCACCACAATTATCACCACACTGTCAAACAAACACAAAGACTTGGAGCAGCTGCCTCTTCACTTCATCCTTCTGTCTAAATCATGGACAATAACAGTTTTATACATTTATCAGTTCAAGCTTATGATGCTATGACATTTACTCTCATTGATGTGATGTCCAGAGAGCAAGATCGACTAGATTTTGGAAATCAAGTCAAGTTATTCCCCTAATAAAAGTAGAGGGCGACAGTGATGAAAATTGTAATCAGATCACAAATAAACCATTTATATGAACTACTCTCAGTCTCTGAGGGCTAGTTTTCTTCCCCTTAACAGAAATCCAAAGTGCAGTTCATTAGTAGTCAATGTATATTGTTTCATTGCAACTTTAAGAGATGATATTTCTTTCTGCCACAGTTCGCAGTATTAACAGGATTTGCAACCTGAAAATCAGAACAGCTTTGAATGGCTTGTACTAAATGTGGCCTTATTCTCGCTCCATCCATCACGAGTAGATCCACTCACTGTATGTCACAAACACTTATGATCACATGTTTACATCCATTATCCATCTGTTCACAGCTCACGCTCATTCAGCTCCATTCAGTATGTAACCATTAGTGGTCCATTTCAGCAGACTCATGATTCATTGTAAACATTCATTGTAAACACAAAGAATCCACCACCAGTTTCCACTAGGTGGCATTGTGCATTCACCAGGTCATCCTCCTGTTTCATTCATACATTGATTCAACTAGGCCTGTCTGCTTGAAGGTCTCAGCCACCTGTCTGGAGTGTTGCATCTTAGCTGACAGTGCCTCTAGAATGTCATTCTGGTCCACAGCGGTAGCTGTCCTGTAAATGAATGTCCCCATTGACTCCAGACCCAGCATTCCTAGATTTACCCCACAACCTGGAGGATAAAGAGGGGACAACATAAATCACAAACATCAAACATACATCAAATATGATCTATCTCATTAATGCACAACACATGTTTACGATCTGAAGTACTGTTCCTCATTTTGCAGACAAATACAAAGCTAAAGCCTTGAAGTCATAGTTATAAAACAGAACAAGCGAAATATAAACATTGAGCAGCATGGAGACAAAACCAGATAAGCGTCAGCTGAAAGGCCATTGAGTGCAGTAGTGAGTCACACACCCATCAACACACACATACTGCATGCATACAAAATTATTTATCCTTTCCTTGAATTTCTATTACTTTCCCATCTTGCTCTTTTTTATTCTGCCTAATTCATTCAAAGGCCTCTCTGTTCTGCTAACAGGGATCTTTGATGTTATGTCTCGCCTTCAGCAATACTTTGAGGACAGATGTATTATACATATTGGAATCTGGTACTGTGTTTTAGGGCAAATATACCCTCCTATTCTCAGCAATGCAAGAGCTGATGTTTTCAAAGCATGTGTACCTGTGTCGAAGTTAAGGACGCGTGCTGCCTCCCCCTCCACAGTGACTGCCACGTTGTCTCCCTCCATGTACGCAGCGCTGATGCGTCTGTGTGATAACTGAATCTCAAAGAGACGCCGGCTGCACTGCATGTGGTGGAGGGTCACGTCGTTGAGGCGAGGCTCTATGTCGGTCTTATAGGCATTAAAGGACTGATGGAAAATGTTCTTCATGATCTGGGCAGCAAAACAGAGACAGGTATAAATTATATTTAGCATTTTTAGCATCATTAAAGGTCCACTTCGAACATTTTTAACCCAATCTTATTGCAAATTGACTTGACTTATAAACACCATTACATTAACACAGGTATGAAGACTATGTTCACCACCTTACAGTATATCCTACTCTTGATCATGCTGCCACAAGGGAACTATAGCAAGAAGCGACTGACTGTGAGTCTTTAGTTTGAGTTTTTCTTGTAAACTTCTCGGGGGGTTTTCAGTTCTTTGCCAGATGTCTGTCTGTCTGTCTGTCTGTGGACAAAACTCACAAAACTTTACAGGTGTGTAGCTGAGATGAAAATGAAGGAGTACTAATTGGTCGGAACACAGGTGTGATCCCATCGCAAGATGGTGTGTAGTTTTACTATTCGTTGGCATTTAAGTGGCAAAACAATTAAACAAATAATGAAAGAAATAATGATCAATAATAATTGATAATGACAATAAGCATTAGTTGTAGCCCTAATTCAAACAAGGTCTTTTAATATAAAACATACAGTACTGTATTAAAAGACCAAGTCACACTTCTAAAGTAACAGGCTTTGTTGCATCCTTTCTTCAATCTGTATCAAAGAAACTGCACCTTCTCTGAAGTGACTCATAGAAAAACACTATCATTTTATGTTGATGCATGAACGCTGAAGAAGAAATATGTGTCCGCCCTTTGCTGTGTGCCTTCTCATCGATTCTACAGTAATTGCAGGTATTGAGTGACAAGCCTCGTTCTCGCTCTCTCTGCCTCTGTCACTCTTGCTCTCTGCTCAACTCTGCTCTACTTCGACCCATACTTGCACATCATCTGTTACCAAGTAACAGTGCATATGAATGGCCACCCACATAGCAACAAGCAATCCAAGGACAGTCTTGTTACATACCTGTGTGTACTACACTACATGCTGTGGCTACAGCAGGCTATGCATGATCAGAGCAGTGCTGGACATGAAAACATAAAGAGTTTAAATAAAACTGCCCAGTGATTGTGACTGCAGCCACAGCCTCTTGTTGAGCACAGGAAGAAAACAAATCCTGCCCTCCATTTATTCAGTGATGTGTAACAGCAGGGTACAGATGGCCTCTACACACATATACACACACACGCACACATACTGGTGAGGTCTACTCCCCCTCTTTCCCCATTTCTTCATCTCATGCTCTCTTTGGCTCAGACACACTCATACTTAAGTATGTCAACAGAATTAAACACACACATATACACTCACAGACGGGCACTAATGGACCCCCCACAATAGTGCAGTTAAAGGCCATTTGTTGAATGAAAGAGAGGAATAAGTAGGTAGGCAAGGCAACGTTATTATTATCTGTCTTTCCTTTGCATTAACATGGAAGTACAGCTACATATTGTTCACACCTAAAGTCTTTATCAACAGTAACCAGTAAACAAAGCTCTGAAAAAGCTTTTCATCAAAAGGGGAGAAGAGGCTCACAGAGGAGTTGGCAGTGTGCCTGAGGAAGCGAACCATCTTGGTGTCGGAGGCGGGGCAGACGAGGGCCATGTAGCGGTTTCTGAAGGTGCCATAGATCTTCAGGTGGAAGCCAGATTTGGTCGAAGGATTTCGATGCTCTCGGAGGGCCTCTACCCCGTAAGCAGACAGGTCAAAGAAGAGGCTGTGGGCACGGATCTCAGGAGTGGGTACCTGTAGTTAAGAGAGACAGGTAAAGAAATAAGAGACACTGGATCAAATCATTTCAGATATAATAAAATATAGTACTAGGAATGAGATTAGTGTCGTATTTGATATAATCATTTGGACAATATATTTGCTTATTAAGTCTAATTCTTAATAGACATGCGCCCTATGATACCTATACACCCATCCCTGTCTGTGGGGATGTTTTTATTTGAGTGGAGATTGAGAATGGCTTGGTTTTTATTCAGTGGTTCAATCTGGCAATGACTCCCTATTTTCCCTCAAGCCAGAACTGATAAATTTTCTTTTCAACGACATAAGCCAGCCGAGTGAAATCAAAGAGTTAGTGCAGCCAAGGGAGATAGCACGGGAACAGAGCGGCGACTGGGTGGGGATGCAAGGGACGGTAGGGCCGACCAGGTCATATCCTGGGAGGTAAATTCAATCATTACAGGAAACAGCCAGGGAGAAAAGAGCCAATAAAAGACAGCCACACAGCCGCTAAATAGAACGTGATATGAATGGTGGCATAAAATAGCAAGGGAGACTATGCTCATGTTCAGATATTAGTCAGTATTAACCTGGAAGCTTTTTACCTCAACCTGTTTATTTGTTTCACAAAATGAATTCATACTTTTGAGCAAATTGTCACTGCATATAATCATGAGAGCAACTTTTTGTCTACACAAGTTGAATTCTATGAACAATACAATTATCAACAATAGATAATGTCTGGTCATCTGTGCAGGATGAGGAAGACTGCTGCTGTAAATACCATTTGTCTCCACCTCAGTAGACCAGCAGGGACGTGATGTTTGTTTGTAAAGTCTGTCAGACTGTACTTCTTCCTGAATAAGGCTGCTCGGCTGTTTTTCATTTTTCATTTTCTGTCTTTTATAATCTGCACCTGACTATTACACAGACAAAGCAAGTGTTAATTAAATCAATTGTTGGCACATTTGAAGTGATTACTCTATGAAAGTGTTACATATTTATCTATTAAGTCTTTTGTGAGCCGTGGCTGAGTCATCATTCAAGGAACCATCTGCTTATATAACGTCAACTGACCTTTGGCGCACTATGTGAAAAACATTGCAGCTGATGTTCTGATATCTTGAATCATATTCACCTGGCAGGACACAGATTTTGGGGGGGGCATGATGAATCACAAGCTTTATCATCACCATCACCTGCCTCCATCACAACAACAGCTGCTCTTATCAAATTCGATAAGTAAATCAAAACAGGGCCAGTGTTGATGCTGACAAGATCCAACAGTCTGCCAAAATCTGGCTGTTTATATTAGAGTCAGATATTGTGTTTAGCTTCCATTGGCAGGTCCACATGACTGTTTGCTTAAATCAGCTTTATGAGGCCAAATAAAGTCGCCTTCACTGTAATATCCTGCAATATCCTGTTTCTACTGTTTTCAGTCTTTACACAAACAGAAAGCTGTTGGTTATTGCCTCAGTGCGTGCGCATGAGTGAATACATCCATTAGTGTATGTTCAGTATGCGTATACAGATTGTGTGTGTGTGTGTGTGTGTGTGTGTGTGTGTGTGTGTGTGTGTGTGTGTGTGTGTGTGTGTGTGTGTGTGTCCTGACCTGTCTCTGGTCTAGTCTCTCTATAGTTGCATTAGCTCCATAGGCATGGCAGGACTCCACAGTGTAGTCAGAGCTGATGCCCAGCACAGAGCAAGAGTCACCACACGACCCATCAGCCACCACGATCACACGTGGCCAGTTATTGTGTGGGATTCGCCGCAGGTATTCCTCTGTAAACTGAAACAATAAAAGATAAAAAAAAAAAAAACAATTATTGGATAATATGATTTAATTAACATTTCATAGTCTAACCCAACTCATACTCTAAAGAGGCACATTTCCTGTGTATTATATTTTTCGCTTCACTAAAATTGTGGCTGCAGGTATAAATTTAATGTAAATAATGGTTCACTTGCAAAAACATTCCAAATTCTAATAAAATATAGACCTACATTGTAATACATAATATGTTTTTATGTTTATATGTTATTATATATACTTTTTACTGCTAATGCTTATAAAGTTTCTATTAGTTACAACATTTACTTAACCAAATGCTATGATTTTATTCTTATAACACTGCCTATTAAATCTAAGAAACAGGTGGGTTGTATTGTAATAAACCCATACAAGCCATTAAAATGGACTCCAGAGGTTGAGCTTTTCTTGGCAGCAGTGCACCTCTCAGAGAGATTTATTATTATGCCTGTGTATGCATCGCTGCCCCTCAGTAAAACACCAGATACTAGCCTGTGCAGAAGAGGGGACAGAGCAGGACAAAGCAGGTTGGTGAAAGACTGACAGGCTGAAAGGGAGAATAAAAGGGCCTTACAGGAGCTTTAGTGACTCAGAGCCTAAGAGATCTATGTTTAATCCATTTAGACAGCAGAGAACAGGTAATTTAAAACACCCCTTTTGCATTTGCAGACTTCTGAAGCACTGACAGGTGAAGGGGGTAAAAAATAATAATTCATCAAACACAATGTCCTGTCTAATCAAGAGGAAATGGCAAACTTGGCAGTGACTCTAAACGAAACTGAAGTTTGTTGTGATCAAAGACCCTTTTGACCTTGTTTTCCGTCTTCCAAAGGTTGGTGAGTCACTGGATAGCAGCGAGGAGAACAGCTAACAGGAATGACATTGGAGATGAGGAGGACAGACGCTGCTGGCCAGAGCCAGGGAGGAGTACCAACACACAAGTGCACAACTAAGATAGAAATGTTTTCGACTGTCTGTAAAAGCAAAGTCACAACATCCACAGTGAGCAGTAATGAAGTCTTGTCTTTGGCTTCCAGCCATGACACAAATATTCACTGAACATTTAATTATTGTTTGCCCACGTTGAGCACTTCTCTCTGAAAAACCGGTCTGAGGATTTTGTGTTAGTAGGTTATTTCTTTGTGCTAAGCTGCGGTCTGGCTGGGAGTGTTTCCTCATGTTATTGTCCTCTGCTTGTTATGAAGCCCACAGTGAGGGCTGTACAAATATAAGTCAAGTTTTAATAAAACAGGGATTTGTGATTTTATCATGAAGCATCAATCACAGTTTGTCGTATATATGATGTTGTCTTATGTAATTGGGTGCCAGAGCACAGTAAAATGTAATTTTATATACAATCGGCTGGAGGATATCCTTAAAAAAATGCCATGTAGCAATCTGTAAATAAATCCTTTGGAATTAAATAGGATTACATTTCAAAATCCATCTCATTTTGATGGCATAACATGTTTGGATTGGAATTTGTTTACCATAATTCAGTCTTTTTCTTTCCACTGGCCTAAAAAGGACTCTCCTCAGGTTTGAGGTCAGCTTACATAACAGGTTCAACTGATGAGCTCGCTTTCGGTCTGACATTATACAGTGCTGTGTGAGGAGAACCTTTGGGAGGATTGTTGAATTGCAGTATGTCTGGTGTAAAAGTGACCACAGAAAGCCAAATGTAAGGAGGACTGCAGCTGCAGTATGAATTTCACAACTAATGATTAGTGAGAAAAGTATGTTCTGTAGCCTATGTATCAGTCTCTTTAAATGCCAGAAAGTGGGTGAGTTACAATATCAGACAGCTGCCTTGTTCCCTCTAGAGCCTGAGGAGGCTGGAGCTTCTGATTGGAGGAAACGACATCTCTGTCACCATCACTGCTGATAGGATCAGACCCCTGCTGAAGTGGAGGCACACACCAGCCTCTCCTCTGTGACCACTGCCACTTAGGGGGGATCAGGTTTTGACAGACTATGAAGGCACAGTCATTACACGATGATGTAGTGTGAGACTCTCTCTCCTTTTACAAAGTCACATTATTTCCAGTTCAGTGCTGTATTATTCATATATTTGATGAATACCAACCTGTTCATTTTTGAAGATTGGTGAAAATGATTGCGGTGCCACTGTACAGACCCTAATATGATTAAAACTGAAAGTTGAAATCAGTGAGGAGGCTTTACCTTAGTCCCCAACAGCACCTTGACGTCCACCTTCTGTTTCTTCTGCTCCAGGATGCTCAGCAGGTATTCCTGAAACACACCTATTCTGGTGAAGAAATGCTCGTTGTGCCAGCAGCCCTCCATGTTATCAAAGTCCACCCCGAGTCCCAGCAGAAACTTCACGCTGCGGGGATCCAGGGCGATCTGCTGGGGCCGGCAGAGCAGGGCAGTCCGGTACCTCTCATCCAGCACGGTCAGTTTCAGCACCTTACCGGAGCGGACAGCGACCAGCGCGGCCGTCAGCCCCACGGGTCCCGAACCCACGATGAGCACCGAGATCCTGGCCCGCCACTGTCTGATGCCATCCAGGCTCACTTTCACCACCACGTACACGACCACTGCCACCAAAGTGCTCAGAGCAGTGTCATAGGCTAAAGCACGATACCTCTCCTCCGCGTTTTCCCCGATGTCGCCAACTCCTGCATTTTGTGCCTGCAGCCCGTCCATACCTCAAGCGGCAATTACACCGAAATGTGTGCCAGGCGATGTGTTGCCAGCAGCTCTATTATCCTCCCTTGAATGAATCAGCCGAACGTCCCCTCACCATCTATGCATTCACTGAAAGAAAGAAGCAGGCTTTTGCAGCCATGTATACACAAAGCAGCTGCGACTTGCCACATGCGTCCTCTCCGCTCCCTCAGCTGCAAGTTTTAGTTGTTGCAGCACGCTGGACTCTCACTCTCTCTTTCTTTCTCTCTCTCTCTCTCTACCACCCCCCTCTCTCTCCCTCTCTCTCTCTCTTTCCTGGAGTGAGGTGTATGTCTAAGTGCAGTTTAATCAGCAGCCTACGCATAAAGGTTTAAATCTGTCATATTTCTGAAAGTGCCAGAACTTCATAAAGTCAATGGAAACTAAAGCCGTAGGCATGTGATCCCACCTTCCTAAAATCCAATAGATACAGAAAACTGCAGGGGCTGGACAATGTGCTTTGGTTTTACTCTGACAAAGTATTGATTTACTGTTGCTAAAACAAGAGAGGTCGATTCTCTCTCTGGCTATCTGTCTCTTTCTCTCTCAAAAAACACACACACACACACACACACACACACACACACACACACACACACACACACAGTAGCACAGTAAATTTACTGTATAATCCCAAAGGACTGATTACAAAGTGTTGAGGCATCTAGTTATCTTCCAACAATAATGTTCCCATAGGAATTGGAAGACAAATGCTTTAAAAAGCAGAAGCTGGCAAATCTGATGATGAGAGTCAACAGAGTCAGTCTGAAGTTGCTGGTGACAGATTAAGAAAAAAGCCAGAGGAGATGAGATGCTGGTAAATGTTTCTACAAAATCATATCAGTTTACAGGAAGCTTCACATCTCCTCTAATCTTCTCTGTACCCCTGTGAGCCATGCATTTTCATTTCATTTGACTATATCTCTTACAAGACCGTTCTAATGTTGTGTGTGGCTTTCATTTTGACTGTTGTTTCATTTCAATTTCCTTTCCCCTCCTGTCCTCTCTGAACTAAAGGAAGCAGTGGCTATGAACACACTTCACCATGGTGATGGCTCCTCAGAGGACAAGGCCAATTTATTTGAAAAGATGCATTTATGTGGTGCTGCTGCTGAAAATGGATTGTAATGGCACATTGAAAGTAGCAGAATAGAGATGATGAGGCAGTGGCATTGCTCTTTTCTGCACTGTGATGGACATGTGACCTATCCAGACCTCTCTTTTCCAGGGCGGTGTAGCTTCCCATCCCTCCACCCTTATTTTTTAATGCATCTTTGAATGCGCGACAACACTCTTCATTCATCACACTTTACTTGACTTGATACTACTGGCACTTTATTCTCTTTGTACGTGCTTCTTTTATTGTATCTTTTCTTATATTGTGTACACTGGCACTGAAGGAACATAACAAATCATGTACATTGCCCTGTGTACTGTGTATTGCATATGGAGAGGATGACAGGGGCGGCTCCAGAGGGGTGGCATCTGCCTGGCCACCCCAGTTTGGTGTCAAATGCTGTATCATTTAACACATTGATTTGGATTAATTTAAAAAGTAACGCGTTAAAAAACGCAGATTAATTATCTGTTCTGAGTCCAATGAAAAAAGACGTATTTGGAAAATATTTGGAAATAAAAATGTATTAATTGCTAATACAACCTTTAGATATTTCTATTCAATGCTTTAATAATGTATTGTTTTTTGAGTTCAAATATGTCTGTCTACATTTACCCTTGAATGACAATATATCCTACTTTGAACCTTGCTCCTTGAAACGAAATAAAGAAATAACAAATAAAGAAGCTGAATAAATGAATGCATATTCTGTGCCATATTCATCATCATAGTCATATAAATGTCCCAGAATTTTTCTCCTGTCTGCTGCCACCCTTTAATGACCCCAGTGAATCAAATTCATCGCAAGGTTTAGCATTTTAACTAATGCTCTGACCTTTAAGCCCCATTTGAGCCTCGCTAATAAAATGAACACTTTGAAGGTGCTGATGACATCAGTTTACCTAAGTGACTCCTAATATAAGCCAAAGCCTTCACAGGAGACTGACAGAGAAGTTCATATGGAATATTTTGTCTCATCATCTAGGACTATGACAGACAGGTTTGTATCCATAAATTCATTTAAATTGCCAGGGATCCAAAGAGAAAGTGGGGGACGAAAGACAAACACACACACATACAGACAGAAGGAGACATATTGGTGTGATACACCATGCCTCCACCGGTAATTGGTTTCCACCTCTGCAGGTGCCTGGCAACGATGATAATCTCCAGCCAGTCCAGATGAAAAGAGAAATGAAGCTCTAATTACAGTTAAGACCTGCAAGCTGGCAAGCAACCACAGACAACGCATTTCCTTGGAAATGAATGGATAGTGGTCACCTGGATATTCCATAATGGTGTGCTGATCATCACTTTATAGAACTAAACTGATCTGATGCTGAATTAGCTTGGTAAAGATAAAATGTTGTGACTGCATGCATGAAATAATTACCACAAATAATACTTCTACATAATTGTGGATAGATTGGTTCGTTAAATATATGTTAGCTGAATAGTATCTCACCTACCTCAAGTACTTCCTCACATAATGCACTACCATGAAAGAATACACTAGAAAACAATTAAGCTACGCCTTTGCTTTGATTTCAACATTGGCATGCTAATATATGCAGTTACACAGGGGCGATGGAGATAATCCTTCCACGAAGCCTGGGGATTTGAATGTGTTAATGACACTGAGTGGATCCCTCACACATCCCACTCCGACACAATCCTACATCTGAACAAAAGGAGCACAGAGAGCAGGTTTTTATCAGTTTGCCGACATCTTACAGCCAGTAATGGGGCTATGCATACATCTGAGGTCATTAGAGAAAAAACAAATTAGGTCCCCACATAATGAATACAAACCCTCATTGTTGTCAGGGAGTTCAGGCGGTATTAAATCAGCATATCCACAAACACTGCCAGGAGAATGGAACGAGGCCATCTCTCTTAGTTTGCAGTCTATACAAAATCCTATAGTTTAGACATGTTGGAATCAAATGAAGAGAACAATCAAGGGACAGAGACAATCACATTTTGAGTCCTGCACAGAATAATTCACAGTGACCAGAAAGTGTCACAGAGAGACGCCAGCCACTCTGGTGTAAAGTGTATCAATGTTAGGAGCAAGATGTCCAAGATTTAACGTTACGCTGCATAACTGCAAACTCTACATCTGTATGTCTCCCCTATACGGTAGTGCTTGTACACAAAAATGCAGCATATCCAAGATTGCCTTTTAATCGCGTTTCCTTCTCAGGGAGCCATTTCTTCCCTTGATCCCTCTAAACAGGCTTTCATGCAAAAATATCTCCCCCACTGTGCTTGCTCTAAACCAGACATGACGTCCTTACTGCCCACTGTATCAGCGTGTGTTTTGGAATGATGAGTCTCAACAACTGCCTAAGCACCACAATAGGTTTCTCATGCTGTCTCACCGAACACTGTGCCACGATGTGCTGATGGTTTCATTCATTCACACCATTCTTCTTCCAAATTGTTCTACCATGGACTTAATATGAAATTTGTAGTTTTATTATGATTAGAAAGTTAATTTAGCTCCTTTTTAATCTCAGGGATGTCCATTTAAAACAAACTACGTCCTCTCTGGTCTGGGAGATAACAGAACTCACATAAACTTCCAGGTACGATAACAAGCAAGGTCCCTTTTTAATTTACACTGAACTGCAAATACTTTCCACTGGACCATCAATTCAAGGCCTTGGTTAAGCAAACATAGCAGCTGACAGCGACATAACACATTAAACTGGACAAAAGCCAAAATATTTAGCATACTTTATCTCAAGGGCAGGGAGATAAATCGATGCATGGTCAAATGTAATAAATGTAAGATTACTTCATGTTGTTCAGACAGTTCAAATGTTTCTGAACTGTTACTGTTGAATAAAAATAATTGTCCTCTTAGATGAAATTTTTAGAGGAAAACCAAAGCCAGCACTAGTTAACGGTATTTTTACTGCCAACTGTCAACCTGTCCAGCTGAGTCTCAAGTAGTGATGTGTTCAGAGCTGACAGACTGAAACCGTGGTGACGTGGGTTCAGGCAGCCGAGAACACACTATGACCACAAGGAACAGATCAGATCACCATGGTTACCAGTGTAATAAGGTCAGTGCGTGACGCTGGATGTTACCATCTTAGCTACTACTGGAAGGTTTCCACTTGCAGTCAGTTGTAAATCTAGTTTCTTGGACTGCTGTTCAGCAGAGCACATAATAGCACACTGATTCCTTAATTGGCTACTTTAATCTAGTACATTCTTAATGAACTCTTTAAGTCACACAGTGGGCAATCAAAAATTTTACTGAAGCATGTCATGGCACATTTACAGAGAGCCCTTTAGTAAAAAACTGTTTCCCTGCAGACACATTTTCTAATGACAAAACAGAATCTATGGTGGCTAAAAATAGCCCCATTCAGCAGTCCAGCTTTAGAAGACAAGAGAGCAAATCTTGAGAATTACAGAGCAGAAAATTAACTTTCGGTGTTTAAAAAAAAACTAACAATCACAACAACTGATGAACTGATTTAAAAAACACTTTATTTCCATACCAAGATAGTACAGGGACAAATTTATTGGTTTAATTCTTTGCTGAAAACATGACAACTCAAACATACACATTGAACTGAGTCAGCACTGATTTTAGCATGTCAAAGAAATATCTGTAATAGCTCAGGTGTAATAAAACTTACACTACTGGATCTTCCTTGGCAAATGACACTTTGCTTGAAACATCATGAAAATACATAAGCCAATAATAACCCTGCAACAATAACTCCCCAAAGAATCCATAAACATCTTCTCATGAAGGACTGAAGACTTTTAATGGCATGAAAAGGTGCAGTGGTTTTTCCAGTAGTTCACAAGGACAAGTTTAATAAAAGGTTGTTGAGTGTTCTAATTAAATCTGACTGTACAAGTCTTCCCCAGATTCTGTTCATGTGTATTTTCTCACAAAGGCATCCTCTGCAAAAAGCATGAACTTGAAGCCAGTATATACAAGATTTTGAGACATTTTCTGCCTAGACCACAATTCACTCATGCCAGAACCCATAAGCTGCTACATAAGCTAAGCTAAGGTTACAAGTTAAAGAGCATTGTACTCCACACACTTTGATGGGACAGTTG